AAATAAATACATTATAATTTCGAAGAATAAATAACGGTTTTATTTAGATATTATAACTCATTACTTACACTATATAGGTATGAGTGTTCAGAAGGGCGTTTAAAATGTATAGATACAATTCGAGCATAAATTTATCAGAAAATCCATTTAAAACACAATAAAATTAAAATGTGTACGTCCGACAAGATGACCCATACTTAAAATACAGTTGTACAGCAAYCCTTCGTAACAACCGTACAAAAGATTTCACTGATATTACGCTGGTCAGATAAAAACCTTAAAACATGCGTACGCACACACGCGTTTTGGGTATAATTTAATGGTTATGACTACAATAAACTGACCGATATCCAAAATCCAAGAACCGTACTCAAGCGTAGAACGGTCAAAATAATAACTTGGCACTTTTGAGGCATTAGAAAAACAAAAACGGTTTCACATGGCGATAACCTAACTTGTGAATATATTTTATACATTACGTTTATGCGTAATATTATATTTTGTTTGTGATGTATTTTACACTTTAATAAAATATGATCCTAAACGACACAATTTACCTACGTGAATAATGTAAATTTCCGGAAATCTCAGTTTTATTCATTCGGATAGTATATCCGTCAACTTAGTTTTTTTTTAATTTTTTTTTTTTTTTTTGCAAAAATGGCGTTCACCCCATAAGTAGTTATGTATATATTTACATGAAAAGCACTTTTTTTATTTTTGAAAAGCTGTATTTATATATTTCTGTTTACACTGCAAAGTTCAATTATAAAAATTTGAAACTTTTCACTGACTACTTTTAAAGTGAATATTTTGACGTAATGCACTTTTATATTATTCAATATTTATCTAAAGCTACTTATAGGGCCTAAATTGATGGATGGCATTAAGGCCTCACCAGGCCCCACATTTTTCAGGGGAATAAAATTAACTGTAATTATTTRGGTCCTACTCGAACTATATTATTATAAATTAAAATTATGTGGTTCCTAAAATAAAAACTTTATCTTATACACAGTAATTTTCAATAGATAAAGTTTGTATAGCATTTTTCATTTTTTTTTTTTCATTTCGTTCAGAGGGCAGACGGCGCTGCACGTGGCTGTTCAAAACGGCGAACGAAAGATCTGTTATCTATTGGTGTCGGCTGGAGCGCCGCTATTGGCCGTCGATAAACAAGACCGGACGGCTCAGCAAATAGCCGAACAGACCAGAGACTATGACCTCGCCAAATACTTAGAATGTAAGTACCTTCACAATACGTATTCATATTAAGTTGATAAAGATGATGTCGCGTAAATAAAAAACCTGGTCCAGCCCACAACCACCCGAAGCGAAATCCCCCGATGATATGGACCTAAACCGTCGAGACGGTATTCGTCTCGTTATTGGCACGTTTATTAATTTTTAACCAATTCCGACACAGGTCGATTCGTTATTCTACAGATGTGCTGGTTAAGATTAGGTGGGTGGCGGTGGGTCCCAAAAGTACGTTTCTGTTTCATCGATGAATGAAATTGTTGTTCTCGCTACGTAAACGCGACTAGAAACATAATGTAAATCCTTTACAATTACTGTTGGAAAATTGTGACATTTCTTTAAATTTTTTTTAGACAGAAGACGAAACGATGAATTTGCTTAAGGACTAAGGAAAAACTAAAACCGATACGGTCTGTATCTGTTTTTTAAAAAAAAAAAAACATTTTTTTTTTCTTCATAGTCAACGCTATATTATGTGTACATTGTACATATAATAATAATACGTTCCTGGTGTTTAATTCCTTCATCAGTAGTTCACTGCCTACCTATTACGCTTTTATATTATATACAGACGACGATATAATGACACATTATTATTATTCCCAATCGTAAATCAGCATGAACAAAATGAAATGTTATAGAGAAAACGTCAAGTTCAAAACTTTTACAATGCAATATTTGAGCACTACTTATTATGGTACCTACTTGAACCTTTTACTGCACGTAATGTTCGTTTTTTTACGTTCCTGATGTCCTTAAAAACCGGCTATTATTATCCTCGCTTGGTTTTATGTCCTTAGTACAGACGTCATAATATATTTTGCATAATTCGACCGTATCGGTGTAGTAGGGCTATTATAGCTGCGATAGTCTAATGCTATTGTGAAACAATTTTTTTGCCTTTTTATAATACTTTGTAATATCCTTGTGATGTATTTTATTAAAAATATACTACCCGATATGTACGTATTATACCTATATCTTATCTCGTCCGTAACCTACTCTTAATAATACCTATATAGTTTTACTAAAATATATTAATCGTGTAATTGACATCTACAAGGTTCCTTCATCACTAACAGTTGTTTTTCTCAATAAATGTATATGTTATCGATAATATTTAATAGGTACATGATTTAAATTCATTGAAACATACCTTTTTKTTGTTGAATTTTATAGTCATTTTACCATTTTTAATCATAGTGATTTCTCAAGCTATTATTTTATAAAAGACAACGAATAATTTCATTTTGTACATAATTTTAATATTTTACTTATAAGAATTATAAGTTACATATAAGTTTATTTAACGAAATTCATGAATAACAGCTAAAATAATTCTTACAAATTATAATAATCAGTCAATAAAAAGTTTTTTCGTCCAACACAGAATACKTWTGAATGATAATATTACGCGTTAGACAAAATCGAATAGTCGAATGTACCTACATTGCACCCGAAGAAGGTTAAAAATTGTAAATCATCCGATAAATGTCAAATATAAATTTACACATATAGTAAATTGCRCCTAATACATTTCAAGTATAAATGTTAATGTTGTAAATTGCACCAAACAAATAAATTATTTTTATGATAGCCATTTAGTATTACCTAAAAGGCCACCACTTTAGGTATATCACAGTAATTCTAAAACGTTTTTTTTTTTAGTATAATTATTGAATATGGGTGGATATATTAAGTAAATTAAGTTATTAAAAATATTTTTATTAGGTTAATTTATAAATAAAAATAAAAAATATTTTGTTTTTTTAGGTTTTGTTGAATTATATTATATGTATTTATATGGCTAAATCYAGTTTTTACATCCATATTACACTATTGCACGCAAARGACTTACTAAAATATTACCTGCACAAAGTCATAGTACGTGTAAARTCATTGATATAGCTAATATCATAATGATTATAACGATAAACGTTCGGCTTTAACGCCATTAAATGAACAACGGTATTTAAAATATAATGAATATCAATGAATTCAAGGTCATTTGATACTATGGGCACAATATACAATACCCATTTTAGAAACCAAAAAATGCCGCATGTAATTTACTATACCATTTTTACTACCTGRTCGATGTGGGTGTAATTTATAAGCGTCCAATCGAACTCCTTAATCCCGCAACCATTACCAAAACTACGAGATACCTAGTTGAGTTTAGATCCATTCCCCCGTTGACTCAAAAAAAAAATATATTGTCGTGAAATAAACATTTCTTAGATTAAAGTTTACCTAACCAATTTTAATAATATCATTGAGACTATTTTTTTCAATAGTCTTTGTGAGAACTTTTTTTTAAACCATAAAAAAATACAATTATTTAAATAATAAGTAATAGGTACATAAATGTAATTTATATGACAATTAAAAAATAAATAAATTCAAATTATAGGTATGTATAATTAATTATATAAGTTGAGTCGTTGTCRTCAACTACACTATAATAAGGTTCGTAACGAAAGTAAAAAAAAATTCTTGACGTCTTATATAATTCTAAGAATAATATAATAATTTCAGTGAGGAAGCGAAAAACGAAAAAAAAAAAATAAAACTTTGTTACATTCGCAGCGCACACGTGTGAGCCAGATTATTCAAGAACAACTCATCTTTATTTTAATAAACCTCGTCAAAAATAATTTTTCCTTGAATATACATTACCGCTTGGGGCGGATTTTTCGTTAAAGTGCGGATATGTGCGGGCACGTCTATTGTTCGGAACAACGAAAAACAAAAAATATACGAGTAGCTCTTTTACCCTGAACTTTTGTGTTTTATAAAGATCGACTGTAAAATTACCGGCACCAAGAACAATACACATAGGTATAATATTTTGTAATATATTATATTATGTATATAAAAAAACATAACACAAAAAACAATAACAACAAAACGACTCATAGTGACGCACTCGTGAAAAAAAAAATGTTAAAATACGTTTTCGTTGTTAAATGGAAAATGTTAACACCATTAAACATTAACATTGTTTTTGTGCCGTTTTATGAAAGTATAATATTATTTTGTCCTCTATACACTATACTCGCGCTCCTACGCATAACACACTTACTATGGTGTTTCGGTGTGTGCACTGTGCAGATCACAAATTAAATGCAGCAGTAGATGCCCTCCAACAAGCTGACATAGAACGTCTTGGCTTATACCCGCKACCCGCCTTATCTTTATTCGAGGATCGCTAAAACGTATTAAGCACAGTTCCTTTTAACACAATATTTTTAATAATTTATTACGTGTTATACGTTTTTATACGCGAGATTTTTCAAAAACCAATTATATAATTGGTGCCGCCGTCAAAAGATTGAAAACACCAGAGCGAATATAAATCTGCAGTCGTTTCCGTGACCACCGTTTTGACTCACAGAAACAACTGTTAATAACACGGGTTGAAAGTAGAAACTTAAATTCCCATCTCCGCTAGGTGATTTATATACGTAACTATATTTTAATATAGCTCCTATTTACTTTTTTTTATCATTACTAGAATACATTTAATTATAATAATTGATTTATTTTCAATTTTATCAAAAAATTAGAAATTTCTTTAGATCGAGTATAATATAAATTAGTAACACAGACGCTATAATATTATAAATAGTATGTTAAAAAAATTCAAAGTTCCTTCGTGATAATTACAAATTTTACTAAGTTCTTTTTATTTTTTATTTATGTAGGTGCTTATTTTAATTTAATTTACCTTAWTTTTTTTATTTTAAGTAAATATCGAAAACTCAGAAGCATAAAATACAGTACAGATTATTGTTTACCTAGTAAATTGTGCAAACATTTTTTGTTTTTAAAATACCAACAAGATAGGTACTTATTGTTTTGTTAAATCTAAAATTAACTTTTCTTTTTTATGTATTTACTATAGTTTATTAATTATATTTTATATCATGCTTAGTACATTAAATTCAGTACGTTTCATTTTACCAAAGAAGTTTCAAATAGCTTGGATCAAATGCTTGCTTTAAAATGTAATAACACCRTGCAGTCACTATATTCATTTATCCAATCCAACAGCTTGTTTTAATTATCGTATTCGGTGACCTTTTTTAAACTGCACACATGCATTATAATTTAAAATAAAATTTGTATTTATTCGTATAATATAATAGTCGCATATGTTAATGACCATCACACTTGTTTTTTTTTTTTTTTTCTGGAAATGTTTTAATTAATTTTAGATTTGAACACAATTATTCGTTTAGTTTTATAAAAATTTTTTTACGTCCAATTCTAACTCATTTGCCACAACTGAATTACTCGCGGCAAAGTGCATCGAACAGAACTGTCGACCTATATATAGTGTTACAATAAAGTTTAGCCGAAGTGAAAATTAATTTTAAACAATACGCATCGATATCTGAACCGTCGACCGGATATTATTAGTTCGAAAATAAGTTGTGCCTGAGTTAAAGTTTTTAAAAATTATATGGCCATCAGTTTGAAACTTCAGTGCCTCGCGCCCGCTATATATTAATATATTATAATATGATAAGGGTCAAAATTCACCGATACAAAATTAAATTCCAACGTTCGTGACATTTTCGCATTCCATAACTCCGCGAATCCTATACCGAAAATCAGCGATACCTAAAACACTGACAGATAAAATGTTCGACGGCATATAATATAATATTTCATAGTTATAGTAGTTATAAGATTTTATAAATCGCGTTTTTTGTAGGCAGCTATAAGTACAATCGAGCTTGTGAAATGTTCAACTATACTACAAAATATATGATATTGCTAAGTTTCAATATTCAATAAACCTATCATAAATACAACGCGTCGATCAGCAGTAGTATCATCGTGTAAAGCCATGCATTTTTTTTTCGCTCTTATAGTTTGCATTTGTTAACCATATAGCATAACGAACAGTCAAGCGAAAAAAAATCGGAATCGATAACCGCCGCCATGGCGTAATATTACGAAGAATATCTTGGAACCTAGAAAAGATAATTGGTATACACATTAGCCGTTATGTCTGTATATTAGTATGATTCAATAAGTGGTTTTATGATTTTATTTTTTGTCTAACTACATTTCAAAGTCTCGACGGTCAATTCCTCTCGGGTATTCACTTTAAAATAATTTTAAAAAGGTTGTATTATGTATCTGTCTAGGGGCGTAATTAAGGGTCGATGAGAAGGATAGACTCCCCCCAAAACTTTTATTTTACTGCTAACATTTTATATTTAATGGTGTAGGTTWGGTATGATCCCTCCCCCCAAACAAAATTCCTAATTACGCCACTATGTCCGTCAAAGAAAAAATCATTCGATTGCACGAAACATAATGTTATTATAATGAATTAAGAGGACACTCACAAATTTTTCTTGTGAAAAACGTTTTGCTTAAAAAATAACCACTTTTGGGCGGGCATACGCAGTCATATATTATAGTCAAACAACTAAATAACACAAAAAACAATACAATATATTATCAGTCATATACCATTTTTTTGCTTTTTGTTATAGTTGGTGTAACAAAAAAGTTATTTAAGTTTGAAAAACCCACGAATAATACCGGATTTAAAATAATAATAATAACTTTTACGCCGCCCCCCCACCCAGGCATGGCAGAAATCTACGGGTGCGCATTCGAAATTTTGTCAAAACATACACGAGTACCAAAACCAACAGTTCCCTCCCCGACAGTTCCACAGGCTAATGGTCCTTGTTTTCAAAGCCTCAACCCCCAATAAAAAAAGAAATAACTTCTAGATTCTCAGTGGAGCGATTATGTGTATTTTTATTTTGTCTAGAGAAACTATTTATAGTCAAAAAATGTTCCAATCATCGACTTCGAGTAAGGTTTCTGGTAGAAAATTGAATGTTGTTTATACTTTTAACAATCATAAATATAAATTTACCGAAAGAACAGTAATATTTACACCAAAGTACCAAACTAGTTTTTAAACAAAATTGATGTTCATTGTGAGCATGTATTTGTACCAATCYCAAAAATCGTATACTAATAAAGGCATTAATTTTCACCAAATATTCAAATATCTAGCATGATAAAGTTTTAACAACGTTTTGTTTTCATATTTTTATAATAGATATTATACAATATATTATTATTATTATTTTTTACTTTTTAAATTTTTATTTGACTCATGCGTAATATCTCTGAACAGTTTTTGCTTAAGAGTAAAAAAGCTTGACAAATTGTATTAAAGCTCTTCAGAAATTTCCCTAAACAAGTACATTGTCACAATTTTTTTTTATAAGCGTTTGAATTTCAAATTCCTTCAAAACAGCAAATTATTTTATAGACCTATTATAGGCTGTGGCCATAACCGCTCAGAGCCATTATTATCAATGTATACAAAAATAATTTATCATTTAAACTTAACCAAATATCAATTACCTACTCAATTATACAAGGTTCCTAYACTCAATATCGAGGAATTGTCAAAATACAGTCATTAGTCATTACCAAAGTTGAAATGTTTAAACTTCTCTAAGGTTAGAAAAGGGTAATGTTCGAATTGCACTCGATTTAAAACCAATTCTATATAAACATTTAATGTTGCACTCAATCCAATATCTATCGCTCTGTATTATTCCGTAGAAATTATTAATATATTATTAACATAAATTGTATTAAAAACCTCATATGTTTTTCGGGAGATTTAGAATAATATTTTGATGACGTTGTATTTTGACGTAACATTAAGTTTTAATTTAAGAATAAACGTAAATACATAACACTACGTTATTATTTTGAATTGAATCTAATTTAGTATTTTAAATCTAAAGCTGTTTGATTTTTAAAAAATTACTATTTTTTTAATCATACCTATTCTTGTGCAATGATTAAAAGTTATAGCAAAAACATTAACATTTAGATATTAAAAATATGTGAGTATTAAAAGTGATCGCAATTCACGGATTTCATTATAAATGTTTTTCGACTAATCGTTTTAATCGTACAAAAACGATTGAGAGAATTTCTCACCACACGACCAATGAACTTCATATAAAATAATAGACTACGCGACCCACGACGGGTTAAAATCGGCAGTGTCAAAGCCCATTAAAAGCTGTTGGTGGCGTTCTCTTAATAAAAGAAATCATTTTGGAGCCGTTAGCACAGGGTGTTTATGGGTTTCTGTGCAGACTTCGCGAATGATCTCAATGTCATAGTGGGTGCGAAATCGAAAACCCTAAATGCTTTAACCCAACCCCGCCCGGCAAAATTGATATTCCTGTGGCAAACGAGTAGAGCAATAACAACAGCAAAAAGCTGTTCAGTAATTCACAGGGMTTTCGTGTTAAATAATCGTGGATAAGCATTGCAACACGCCTATTATTGGTACGGAGGTGGATTAACGTGCGCGTTTCAAAACCAATGTAATGTTTTGCGAATGCGCCACGATAATTAATAGTATACTTACGATACTTTCAATAACCCGCAAATCCTTAATTCGTATATTATAAAGGCGAAAATAGGTTTTCGCGATTCCTGCGCTGCTTTCTCCCACTAACATGATAATGATATTATTAATTCGGTATCACCGACGAATATAGTTCCTAGGTACGGAAATCTCAGCGAAACCCTGCGTATACGTCGTCATATTATTATTTTATAAATAAATTTCTACATTTTTCCCCGTCCGATATCCCGTGACAGATAAAATCGCATGCCGCGTTAAAGTGTTAACGTGGTATTAGACTCAGTTCACGTGTTATCGATTTTCTCGATCCCGTCCTCGCCGCCGCCTTTTATAAAGGTTTGCGTAAACATAATAAGCATCATCGGACGAGCATGCTGCACAACAACAATGTTCTCGCGACGATCCCTGCTCGTTTAACCGTAAACAGAACAAATCGTATAGGTAGGTAAAATAATTCGCTCTGATATGATATACTTCGATAAGTACTATATATAGGCAGTACCCTGGGTGTACTCGATAGGTACCGGCGGTGTGTTGTTATATCATAATAATATATATGGACATTGGACGCATTATAACGCGCACACGGTCGACTTGACTACAATACTGTTGAACAAATCAACAAAATATGTGCAACGAGGATACGATCGCAATTGAACACTAAAAGTGTTGCTTGGAACTCTGAGCCATGTGAATAATACAAATTAACCATGTTTTAATAAATTTACATTTTTTTAATACAACATGTAAGAACAATTAACAATTGTAGTTAAATCTTTATTTATATGTTTAAACCTACCTATTGTGAATAAAAAACGTCTGCTTGGTTCTAGCGTTTAAATTGTAAGAATATCTGAACAGGTCATGATTTCTGTTGAGCAACCAGTTTTGATTWAAATTGTATAAATGATATAAATAGCTGTGATAATATTCGAATTGATATGATACTATTCGAAGAATAGTAGCTATTTATGATTACTTTAATTTTTATAATAGCGTTTTCCACCTGCTTAATTAATTTGCCCACATTGGCTACACTTAACAATCAGCTAACCCAACAACTGACACTAAGCCCCACGAGCCCCACCTAACCTGAAAGACGATTATAATATGATGTGAGATATATTATAATGTTGTCACTTATCAATAAAATATAATTGGTGACACCACAACGTCCAAAATCCATCAACGTTATCGTTTATCATCACTCTTGGACACTTGTAGATAAAAATATGTACACAGCACCATCGCAATATTATTATGGAATTTCTACTGCGTTGATGGTTCTAAATTGCACTTTGAATGGAAAACTATTTAAATTTAAATTTTGAGAATTAGAAGAGTGGAATCTTATGTTTCGTAGTTATTTTTGAATATCATAATTATTCTTGTGTTATCATTTTGAAGATTGTAATAATGTAATATACAGGGTGATTCATGAGGCGTAAAACACTCATTTTTTATAAAAACTATTTACTTTTTTCAAATTTTTTTTTTTTCAAAATGTTAGATATATGCTGTTCTAAAACTATATAAATGTTTAATATTTTTCACCCTTATATTTATTAGGTAAACCACAATCAACTTTTGATTTTTRAATGGCAACCTATATTAACAAATAACAATATCATAAATTAATAAGGCTATTTTTTTAATGAATTTTCCCGTTTAAATTTTCATTTTACGTTAATCCGTTGACGAGATATAGTCTCCCAACGTTGGATGGTTTTGGGGTGGTGTTTGTGTATAAATAACTATAAATGTGTTATACCATGTCAGTACCACGGCCACAGGAATTGGGATTTTTGTACTCTATATAGCGTATAAAACATAATACAATTTCCAAATAAATTCAGTAAGTACGATAGTTAAGCCTAAGTTGTATCCCAAAATAGGTAGATAAACATATTTACACAGGACAAACACCATCCCAACTTTGGGAGACTATATCTCGTCAACGGATTAATGAAAAATGAAAATTTAAATGTGAAAATTTATTTTAAAAATAGCCTTATTAATTTATGATGTTTTTAATATATGCTGTCATTTAAAAATCAAAAGTTGATAGTGGTTAACCTAATAAATATAATGGTGAAAAATATTAAAAATTTATATAGTTTTAGAACAGCATGTATCTAAAATTTTGAAAAAAAAAATTGAAAAAAGTAAATAGTTTTTATAAATAATGAGTGTTTTACGCCTCATGAATCACCCTGTTGATGTGACACTGCATATGWTAATATTAATATGTTATTATATTAATAACGTTATTATATTAGTAACGTCATATTTATCTGTTTCAGGCCAAGCTCAGTTCGTATCTTTCGCGGACCAAACGGAGACGTCCGTCTAGACACGGCGGCTGCGTCTGCTGAATTAGACGGCAATAAAACTATCACTATATATAATATATTCTATACATTTTAAATTTATATTATTATTATTATTGTTATTAATTGATTATATTTTTATTCACAATCCGTCGACGCGCACGTCCTTTTTTATGTATATTATTATATTATAGTCTCTGCGAGATCGATAAAAATGAGAAAAAAAAAATACATAAAAAACACACTACAAGTCAATTAGAAGAAGAAGAAAAAACCATATTTTACGCCGTGTAAGTTTTTTCCTCACACACTCGCTCTCTATGTAAGCCCTCTCCGCATATTRCATCCTAAAATAGTACCTATACAAATGCCGCCACCCGTCGTCATATAATATTATATAATATAGTTAGGTATACTCACTTTCGGYAACGTTTCTCGCATTACACGTTTGAACGGTTACTTTATTAATTTTTTTCTCTCATTTAACGCTTTGGTGATATTCGTACGACTACGGAGCACACACGTTCCGCGAATTTTCTTGAAACCGAATTATTGCATTTGGCGCGGTCCCGTCCTCGTCACCTCCATCATATACGGCAAATCCACAACGAATTTCGACGGAGATCGTGGCCAAAAATCATCAAATGTATACAAAAAAGAAAAAATCATTTACGCTCCGTTTCCCGAGCCTCTTTATTTCAAAACAATGTTTCWTTTAATTAACGCATATTATATTAGATGCCTACGTGAAAAAAATTACCCTATAAATACATCGTTTTGATATGATATACAATRCAGAACTGCTATAGAAGTGCCGATATGTGTGTTTATCTCTTTAAAGTAAGCTATAAATACGTAAATACACGTAATATGTATAAGGAAACTTCAACATTAATTCGAAAAGACATTAGATACATTTTTTTATTATTATTTTATCATTTTAGCATACAATCAACAGTAGTAAAACCGCAATACACACTATAACCTAASCTTTATATTACATAATAATGTGTAAAATACTTTGATGTCATCTGCAATTAGTAGGTATAATAATATACACAGTTTATAGGTTTATCACTCGAGATAAGTGACTATTATAACGCAACACTTATAATATC